AATATTTTTTATGCCATTAGAGGGAGAAAGAGGAGCTCTCAAGACACTGGTTCTATAGAGAGAAAGAGGAGCTCTCAAGACATGAGTTCTAGAGAGAGAACGATGAGCTTTCGAGAGATTGGTTCTAGAGAGAAAGAGGAGCTCTCTCACTAATAGTAGTTTAGAGAGAGAGTAGATGTTGGGTTGAAGTAGTTTAGAAAGAGTAGATTTGGGGTTTATGAGGTTTCACGCTTTGGTTGTTGGATCACAAGGTGGGGTTTGCATAGGGTGTGAGAGCCACATTTTCGTAAAAAAAAATTTAAGTCTGACTTTGATTTTTTTTTTTTTACAGTAACTTTTGCCTTGATACTGCAGTATTTTTTATTTAAATCTAAAAATCTAGTAAAATCTTGCGGGTGTCCAAACGGTTCAAATCTATTTCACAAGATTTTTGGATTGCAATCCAAAAATATTGCAATTTTGGGTACATTCAAACTAGCACTTGGCTTTTCTCTCTCTCTTTGTTAGTTACTCTGGCCTTTCTCTCTCTTTCTACATGGTCTCTCTCCTTTTGTCTTTCAACTTGGTTGTTCTCGCTCAACTTGATCTCTCTCTCCACATTTAAAATCTTATTAGATATGTATGCAAATTTTTTGAAAAATGATTCTTCATTAGAAAACCGTATTAAATATTATCAAAACTGCAAGAGTTGCCAAGGGTAATCGTTGAGAGCATTGAAACGAAGTAATTTCTCAACATGTTAGAGGTTTTCTATTTTTTTTCTTTTTTCCTTTTAAATATGAACAAAGTTTTTGGAGTGACAAAATCGTGATTTTCTATATTTGTGGCACATATGATTTGAGCACTCTTATTGCATGAATGGTACATATCGTGGCATTTTTAAATGCTTATAGTCATCTTGATATGGTACGATCATCATACCAGTGCATTGATCATGTTGTCCAGCAAAATAATATTATCCTCTATAATATGAAGAGATTTGTTTTATATGTATTTTTCATATTTCATTCTTAGGTGTAACACACGTAATCCTAATTTTATTTAGGAGTTTTGATGCATCTTAAAAATTCCTATTAAAATTTTTCATTTTAAATTAATAAACTTTAGTTTAAAAATATTTTGACTTTTTGTTTTTTAGATATACATACCATCAATTCAAAAATTTGAATATAATTTTATGAATTATCATGTATCCATAATTAGCCATAACGAATTTTTACTATAATTATAAATTTTAGAATGTTAGAAAATAATTTTTTGTCTTTACCACGAAGAAGAAATTCAATTTTGTATCTTTTAGGAAACTTTTAATAAATCTATATTATATAATGTAAAGTTTAAAATTTATCAACATTCATGATTAATTTTTATATTTTTACTAAGATCTTTTAAATTATCAATTTTTTTTTATGTATTTTCATATTTCATTATTATGTGCAATGCACGAAATCCAACTAGTAGGTTATTAAATGTTCATCTTTCTTTTTAAAGTAAGTGTTTGCTATTACTAGGTCGTAAAATCTAGAATAGCCTCACTCATCTCATTTCTTACACCAAACCTATATCTCCCATGTACCCCTTCTAATCCTCTAATATCCTTCCTTACACGACCATTTAAGTCCCCTCCTAAAAAGGTCCTACCTCCATTTGTTATGTCTTGGACTAGTCCATCCATGTCCTCCTAAAGTTGCATTTTAATTCTATCGTTCAGTTCTACTTGTGGTGCATAAGCACTACTTACGTTAATTATCTCTTCCCCTAGTATAAGTTGAATTAATAGGATCTCTCACCTACTCTCTTGATATTAACTACTTTATCTTTTAAATCTTTGTCTCGTATTATGCTTATGCCATTTTTGTTATAATCCTTTCCCATATACCAAAGTTTATGCCCATCTATTTCTTTAGCTTTTTTCGCTTTGCACTTAGTTTCCTGTAGACAAGCTAAGTTTACTTTCCTGTGTCTCATTTATCCACTAACTCCATTTTCTTATTTGTAAGTGTGCTTACATTCCATGTGGCAAGATGAATCATTTCCTCTTAGACTAACTTCTCTACCCATGTTTGTCCAGAATGTTGGAGGAACCCTTGCCTATTTTTCACAGCAATTGGGTGGCGCTACGACGTGTTGGTTATGGGGAATGCCTTAGCTAACCCTTGCCTGTTTCTTATTGTACTCGGGTTCTAGTACAACATGTCACTTATGGGGAACACCCTAGCATAAACCGATACAATAGATTCAATATTCATAGAAAGTTTTGGCAAAGTTTTACATTGGCTGCCTACCTAACACAACCCACCTCCTTTACCTGGGTTTGGGATGGGTTAAGGGAAATTTTAAGGTCCTTGTCCTTCTTAGACCAAAATCAAAACTTCATACCATATTTCTTTTTCCTTATTGTTTGTCTTTCACTTACTTTGCTATCTACCAGGTTTGGTTAAAGAGATGGTCATGGAGATGTTTTAGATGAACACCTCTTTCTGTCTATGGGGCTTTCTACTCTTAAAAGTCGTTGGTTGTTTTCTCTTTTAGTCATAGTTTCTTTTTGGTAGGTTTGCTTATTCTCTATAATCTTTTGTGTGTTTGTTCCAAATGACTTTTTGAGACCAGCATGCTTGATCAGCTGCTGGTGGAATATTTCATGATCTAGGGAGATGTAGGATCTCGTGCAATTTTAAGCTCTTTGAAACATGCGGGCCAAAGCAAAAGGTTGTGATTCAAGAAGTCGAGTGTGATAAATAAGGAAGGTGTTCTTGGCAATTTATTGTATTTGATTAGTGATAATTAGGGCTTGTAAGTAATGCTTATAATGAAGCAATCTTTGTAATGGCTTTTGGCATTGATGGTCACAGTTAAATACCTAGGCTTGTAGTATGTTAGTTATTATAATTGTCACTGCCCTTTAAGAGTTGTGTTATCACCAAAGGTTGTAATTCCGGTTTGGAACCTCAATTCGGCAATTGCAACTAAGAATCTTCAGTGAACTAGTTTTTCTGAAGTCTAGAATCTCGATTCCTTACTGTAAGAATCTCGAATCCAACACTTATAAAATCTTGTTTCCAATATTTACTGATTCTCGATTCTATACTTGTTGAAATTGGTTTCCACATTTGCCGGAATTCTACCACTTCTCCCCTTTTCTTTTCTTTTAGTTTTTTTTTTTTTTCTGAGAACTGATGTTTAGAAGTTTTCAAGGTATCAAACTTCTCAAGCTAGACGTTCAATCTCAAGCTACTAGGAGTAGTCTTTTTTGGCATGAAATGATTAATGACGAATAGAAACCAAAGTGGTGGTCTGCGTTCTCTACTTAATTCTTTGATTATGCATTGTACTTGATCCAATGGAGAAATTGCAACTCCAACGTATTAGAAATAATGTAATACAAATAATGTAAACATGCATGTATAGCATGTCGGTCAATGAATGACATTGAAACATGCATTGTTTCCCTCTCAGTTTCATCACGATTCCAAAGATGTCGAAATCTCGATTAGATGAAGGAATCTTGATTTTATATTGGTCGATTACAACTAGGTCGGAAACTCGATTCCAAAGACCTAGGAGTCTTGGTTCCATCTATGTAGGGATCTCGATTCTATTTTGGTTGAATCTCGATTCTATCTTGTCCCCCACGATTCTTCTTTTACGGATGTCGATTCCAAAAACATGAACTTCCAGCCAGAGGCGATTCTGCGCTTCCGATTCCTAAATTGATTCGGTTTCTGAATTACTCCTGGGAACTATGGGATGAGTGGTTGGCTTTTTTTTGCTGGATAGATGGTAATGGGAGGTGTAATTTGTGGCCTGATTTCTTATAATAATGAGTGTCGTGGAGATGAGATAGGCTCACATCGTTGTTTCATTGTAGCTTTTATAGAGGTGTTGGTCTGGGGATTGGGGTTATTTTTCCAGCAGATGGGGTCTATGGACTCTATACACCGGCATGCCACGTACGGCATCTTTCTCACTGTTGAAGATTAAGGTCAAGGCCACTATGGAGACCATGAGGATCATTGGGCATTCTGGTTCGCAAGCTTTGCTTTCCTTGTTGGGAGGAGAAGAAAGCATTGTTCTCCTCGAACTCAATTCATTTCTTGTTTTCTTTATTTATATTGCATCCATTGTTTCACAAACCAGCTTGGGCTTGAGACACTGCTTTTTATCTATTTGTACCTTATGTGTTTCATGGATCCTCAGAAGGCACAAGTCAATTGCAAAATTTGAAGACAAGAATTTCAACATTCGAGTGGGCCTAGTCTTTTGTTTAAGAAAGCAGAGTCAAATCACAATTAGTCTTGAGTGAAATGCCCTAGTTGATGGTTGCAATATTTTTTGGGGTTTCCCATTATTTGGAGCTATTGGACTTATTTGGAAAATAGTCCAGGTCTGAACAGTTGTTTTAGAAATTCCATGAAGCTGTATTTGCTGTGTTTTCCCTATTTTCTGTGGCATATTCAGAAGGAGCACGATAATTGGATCTTTAGACATTTGGGGAGTCTAAGAAACAGGTTGGCATGAGGGTACTCGTCTGTCGGCACTTGGTTTTTTCTTTCTTTGTAACATATTCATTGTCAAAACTTGGTATGTGAAGCTAGTGTGATTCAGTGCATTTGAATATGGAATTCATGGGTGGTCATGACTTGTTTCAGATAGTACAAACCTGAATTTTTGTAGTTCTTTCATTGGTAACAAGGCCTAGGGAAGTTTCAATTCATTCTCAAGGATATGGGCCGAGTTCTTAATTATGGTGTTATGTACTCCTATTGTATTATCTATAAAACAATTGCAATTTCATTTTTTTTCTTGATGAATATATATCAAAATGAAAATTAGCGAGTCTAAATTCGTGGAAGGAGGGCATTTCTTGGGTGCCTCCTCATTGTTGGTACTCTGTCCACCATCTGTTTCTTTGCTGTACTATTATTTTCTTGTGTCCTTCAAAAGTTTTGTTGCCGTCATCCAGGTTATGATACTATTGTTCTTGCATTGATTGTTGGCAGACACCGGCTGAAAGAGTGAAAGCAAAGATGAAGCTTCAACTTTCGCAAACTGGTATCATACCGCTTGTCTTTCTGTAGTTTTCACGAAAGAATCTCACTGGAGGCTTTCATGATGTGATTGGCATATATAATCCCTTTCATGCTTTATCCAAATAATTTAATTTTCCAAATCGTTGCATTTTTCATTCCAAAAAGGTACTTTATTTTCTCTGAATTATTACAATTATGGTGTCACTTGAATATTTGGTACCACTCTGCTTGTTTCATTGCTGCAATCATTTATATTAACTATAAAATATTGCTTGAGTGCTTTTAAAGAACATTTCTCTGTGCTAATTCCACCATACATATAAACATCAAATTTGCCAATGTAGTTGGATATCCGTGACATTACAAGGGCATTTGCCCTGAGCCTAAAAAAAATACCAGGGTTTTATACAAAACCTGGGATTTTCGACGGTGGGTAATTTTGAACTGGGTCTTGGATACATGCCATTGGATAGCATCTGGATACAACCCAGGTTTTGCGTTCCCACTGTTTGGACTGGGAATTAATTTGACTTGGACCGGATTGAGATCTTGATTTCAGAGGTAGAAGCCCAAAAATCAGGCAAATATCCTAATCCCAGAGTATGCTTTTGTTATTTTTGGCCGAGTCGGACCTAATTCTATGATGGAGTTGAGCTCGGGACCTAGGCGTGTCGGAGCTCTAGTTCGTTTTTTTAAACATTGGGTTGGACTCACCTGTTTGTAAAATCTGGGTTTTGGGTATTTTCTAGGCACCTTCGTCCTACTCCTACTTGCATAAACCCTATTTTTTAACGTTTTGAGTTGTTGATCTAATGGGCCCCACCTTACACATGGTGATTATGCTGTGAGTAGGGCTTGTTTTGATGACCCAGATAAAAATTACCTTAGGTTTCTGGAAAACCATATCTTGACAAAGTTCACTTTAAACCCCTAAACAGGCTCTGTGAGATAATTTTAATACTGGATTGTGAATACAGGGAAAGTCTTACCTAGGATCCAAATGACCTTTACAAGTTTTACATGATTCTGACCTAGTATCTTCTGGATTCGACTCCGGAATATTTCACAATAATGAATCAAACCTTCAGAATTTTTTTTTTTGTAATCGTCAACTATGATGTATATTATTAAATATTTTTAGTGTACATTTCCAAAAAATGATGCAGCCCACAATCCAGGTGCTTTACATAATGTAATAAGAGACATGGGACCCACTACTACAAAAATGATGTTTCAAATAAGAGATGAGAGAGATAGAGTGCTAAGAGAGGGAGATAGTGGTGTGAGAGGAAGGATGGAGAAGAGAGAGGGTAGGTGAGCTGATAGCATACTTGTGACCAGAAGGTGATTGGGGATTTGCTGCTGTCGGTGTAGTGTCGTTGTAGGCAATACCTTGGCCTTGCAGAGCCCTTGGCCCTTCCTTTACGAGCCCATTGACCACATGGTTCGCCTCCCTTGCTTTATTGACGAATATATCACTAGGAGATGCTTGCAAAGGAAGGATATATGGTAAAACAGGTCGTTGAGTCTCCACTCGCATGACTGGGTTGCCAAGGCCCATTGAGTAATGTGCTTGTAGTTCCCTTCCAAGATGAGGAGGGAGAAATTCCAAAAAGGGTCCAACCTTCTAGGGCCTTCTGCCATGGCATAGTTTTAGCCTTTGTGGAATCCATGAGTCCTATGTTGATGGAGAAAGTCAATAGTGTATTATTACCATGCTGGTCTCTCTAAAGTTGCCGCCATATCCTAAGGGCGTGTTTGTTTGCAGGAAACTTTTCTTTCAAAAAGAAAACGTTCCTAATACTTTAGCAGTTCCACATTTGGCTATGCAAGAACGCTACAGTAACAGGAACCAATGAACGAAAAAACGGCTGCCTTGCCGCTTAAGTGGATGTTTTTCTGAAAACACATAGTTGTGGACTAGGCGGCCTGCTTAAGGCGGGTCCTTCAAGGTGCACCTAGGCTGGTCCACTCCATGGGGACAACGGTGAAACCCAGACAAGCAAACCATGACATCCATAAAGAAAAAACTGCCATAAGGTCTTCTTATCGATTATCTGAATGAAACAACAGCAGTTGTAATATTAATGTTAGATTTGGTGATTTAGTTATGGACTAGAAAGAATATGTTGCAGAGATATAACCAAGCAATAAAGATATGTGTCCTTAGCAATGGTAAGAGGTCTTCTTCTCTATTATCTAAGTATAGCATACAACTCACAGTTAACAATTTGCCATGACTATTCAATTAGTTGGAGAAAATGTTATTTGCAATTAAAATTCTTGCTACAATTAGATCTCTTACTTTTTTTGTCCTTCTTATTGAACATTGTAGGGATGGAATTTTGGACTTTGGATGCATTTGAAGATAGACCAACTTGGAACAAATTATTTGCCTCCATAGAGGAAGAAGTCTCTAAATCTGACCAATTTTGCCATGTTAGCTATAGGTTTGGCCTCCATTTCTTGCATGGCAACTTTAGCAATCTTATGAACCAATGGGCACGATTTAACATCTTTAGTGGAGAATACAGCAATAAGGAGCAATTAGGAAATCTATAGAATAATTTCAGAAAAAATAATTTTAATAAACAAGGAAGCTTATATAATTTGAAATGAAAAAATGTATGCCAAGAAAGAAATAAAACCGCACTCGTAACATTAATGTTAGACATGTAGATTTAGTTATGGACAAGAAAAAATATGTGGGGGAGATATATAAAACCATGCAATAAAGATATGCATCCTTAGCAATGGAAAGAGGTCTTCTTTTCTATTATCTAAATATAGGATACAACTCACAGTTAACAATTGGCCATGACATCCATAAAGAAAAAAGAACAATAAGGAACAACTGGGAAATCCATAGAATAGCCAAATCCATAGGCTAGCAATGGTACAAAAGTCAAGGAAAATCAGCGGAGGTCTTCATTTTTTCCGATTCCGATTCACCATTTGAGAGAGAGAGAGAGAGAGAGAGAGAGAGAGAGAGTAGGTTA